TAAGCACTTCCTCTTCTAGATAACCATTGAGGAAAGCATTTTTCACGTCGAACTGCTTAAGTGGCCAGTCTTGATTTGCCGCAATTGACACAAGGACTCTAATAGTATTAATTTTAGCCACTGGTGCAAAGGTATCTTCATAATCAATACCGAACTTTTGCGTGTAACCCTTTGCAACTAACCTTGCTTTGTACCGAGCCACCTTTCCATTTGAATCGAGCTTCACAGTGAACACCCATCTACACCCTACGGTTTTCTTTCCAGTTGGGAGTAACACCTCTTCCCACGTTTGATTTCTTTTGAGAGCGTCAACCTCTTCGACACCGCTTTTCTCCATTCAGGGTGTTTCATTGCGTCTTGTATGTTTTTCGGAATCACCACGGATGATAACTCTTCCACCATGCAACGTTGAGTGTCGGCTAGCTTGGCCGTCGAGACAAAGTTATTGATCGGGTATCGAGACTTCGATGTTAGATCCGGTTGATATTGTTTACGTGGTACCCCTCTATTACGTCTAACTGGATACCTAGACGCAGGTGTCTCATGTTCCTGTTCACCCACAACTTCACCATACACGTTAGAGTTCTCATTAAAAAACATACCTTGCGACGTGTTTGGATCAGACTCGCTTGGATGAGGCTCGCTTGGATCAGACTCGCTTGGTATCGGGCTCGTTGTACTATCTGTTGGTGTACTATCTGTTTGGGCTTCACTACCGTTTTGCCCATCTCCCCCTGAATCGGATCCGCCATTACCTATGTCGTCGGCCCATTCTCGCTTAGTCCATCTTCATAAATCGCATTTCCGGATGGACCCAACTCATTGGGCTGTATATTTCCCTCATTAGATTTCTCCCCCTGAGGGAAATATTCAGGTGTAAAATATGGAATTTTTTCATGGAAGCTAACATCACGAGTAACATAAACCTTCCCACTTTTCGGATCAACACATCTGTACCCCTTCTTGTAATCAGCATATCCAATGAACATGCATTTTTTGGCCCGTGGTTCCAATTTTCCATCATTACTATGCACATAGGCCGAACACCCGAATACTCTTGGTTCGAGATTGGGTCCGATGATTAATTCCAGTTTTTCGTGTACTACTTGTAAAGGTGTTTTGAAATTGAGGACTCTTGAAGGAGTCCGATTCATTAGGTACGCCGCACTCCGCACAGCTTCTCCCCAATATTGACGGGGTACCTTCATGTCGAAAAGAGATGCTCTTACAATCTCGAGTATTTGTTTATTCCGTCTTTCCGCGAGCCCATTTTGTTGAGGAGTATTGGCGCATGATGTTTGATGTCGAATGGAGTTTGCCTTACAAAATGCCTCCATTTCCTGATTAACATACTCACCTCCATTATCGGATTGGAGCACTTTGATCTCACATTTAAATTGAGATTTAATTATCTGATATAGTTCCTTGAACACATGCGGTACTTCACTCTTGTTTTTCAATAACGACACCCAAATCATACGTGAGAATTCATCGATAAAAGTTACAAAATAACGATACCCACTTGGGGTTGCAATTTTAGCCGGACCCCAAACATCCGAGTGGATCTTCATGAATGGAATTGTTGTTTTGTTTTCACTGGGAAGATATGAGACTCTATGATGCTTAGCCAATTCACAAATATCACAACTAGAATCAAATGTTTTATTATTCAAAAATAATTCAGGTTTTAATCTTTTTAAATACCCAAACGACAAATGTCCTAATCTACGGTGCCATAACCACGCTAACTCGTTTCTTCCTTCTACGTTATACGCCTCCGCTAATCTTTCTTCTTCGAGATAGTACAACCTGCCCCTCCTAGTACCATAGCCAAGAATCTGATCCGTCGCGATATCCTGAAAGAAACATTTATTTGGCCAAAACGAGACATAACAATTGAGTTGGTCAATAACTTGGCTAACAGATAACAAACTTAAAGATAAGGATGGGACAACAAGGATTGATTCAAGATTCATTGATTCTGAAATTTTTGCTGAACCTTCGGAAATTACGTCAGCCGATCCTCCGTTTTCCGTTTTAATTAAACTTTGTGTTGGTTGGGTTTTAATTTCCAATATAGAAGGATCGTTTGTCATGTGATCCGTAGCGCCGGAATCAATGACCCATTCATGACTAAAAAATCGGGATATAGTAGGCTTACCGTGATCACTAAATGACTCGGTATGTGCCGCAACCGGAGTCCCATCATCACCTTTTGTTGTAGCCATGGATGTCTGTCCCACCTTCCTTCGTGGCCTCTTTGAGAAGTCCCACCATTCGGGGTACCCAACTAGTTCATAGCACCTTTGTTTTGAGTGTCCCTCTTCACCACAGTGGGTACACACAAAATTATTCTTCTTATTGTTGGAACTCTTCTCCTTTTCTTTCTCCTTCACGGTGCGACTCCGAGTAGCCAAGTTCACGACACTGTCGGTCTCGCGTTTCACGTCCTCCATTGTAGATCATTGTTGCTGATCTTTGCGAACGAAAGCATAGCAAGCTTCTAGGTCCATTGGAGGGTCCTTACGCAAGATCTCTCCCCTCGCTTGATTGAATTCAACGTCCAATCCCGCGAGGAAGATGTGCACTCGGAGTCGTCCCAAGATTTTGTTCAAGGATACGACCTTATCAACTTCATCTTCATGACCCATTAGTCGGGTATCAATCTCCTGAAAAATTCCAACCAATTCGTTATAGTATGCTGCGAGTGGCTGTCCATTTTGCTTCGTGCTGAACGACCTCCGATTCAACTCGAACAACTGCGTTTCATCCGTTCCATCGTAGAAGGTTTTCGCCACGGCGTCCCAGATTTCTTTTGCCGTCTTCAACCGGATAAACGTCGAGATCAAGGTTGGACTCATGGAATCGATGAGCCAACTCTTGACTCGATTATTATCCATTAGCCAGGTTTCGATCTGTTTCGCGCCGGATTCAGGTTTCTTGGAGGTTCCCGTCAAGAACCCAAGTTTGTTTCGAGCGCCAATCCTCATCTCCATCAGTTGGGACCACAACTGATAATTGGTTTCGTCCAGAATGATCCCCGTCGGAAAAGGAGCATCTTGGACGATGAGACGAGGTTCTTGAGGAGCGGTGGTATCCTTATCAGTCATTGCGATTCGAGGTTATTCGTGCTTCGATTTGTTTTTGATGTGGGTTTCAAACGGTATGCTCTGATACCATATAGACTCAGAATACGTATGAAGGGTTTTTCAATATTATTCACATAACAAACAAGTACATATATAGGGTATACAATACAGAATAATTATCTACCTTCAAAACTAACTATCGGATATACACCATACAAGATAACCACAAAACTAATTATTATCTAAAAAGACTCTTGACCACAAAAAGTCATTTAATAAATATTGTTGTTGTTATTATTATGATTAAATTATAGCAAAACCAACTCTTCCTGTTATTAGTTAACTTCGAGTAGGTTTTAGAAAGTCCAACATGAGAAACGCCTTGGCGTTGACATGTCTATATAAATCTGCTTAATGATCTTTAGAATTTACACTTGAATATACCAATATTCGAAAATGCTTTTGCTTTTACAAATAATTGTCATCACTCTATCCTTCATCTCTCTTGAACATGAAACCTTAGCTGCACTACCTTACACTTCCGTAGTTCTTCCAATACATAAACATACCGATGCTTCTAAGCCTCTTTATAGTGTTCAAGTCATGACAGCCTACGTAAACATGCAATTCTTAAAGCAAAATCTCCTCATAGACACAGATGCTCCTATCATATGGCGCACTTGTTCCTTGCAATGGAACATGTATCAAGGCAGTTGCCCACCCGACACACAATGTGCCTTTCCTGTTTCTTGTGAAGAATATCAGTGCACCGAAGCACGAACTTCTTCTCATACAAGAATCCCTACTGCCAACGAGAAACCAACAAGTCAACGTTACCTGGTTGGGGAGAATGCACGTGCCCAATCAATGTGGTCAACCCCATTGATGCATCGTGTGTCCAGACCCAACTCAACTATGACGATTTCACTTTCAATCAAAGCAATGGTGGAAATGTTTATACCGGATTATATGGTGCTTACCCTAATGCTGCATGCGCTCCTTCTTCATCACTTCAATCATTCCCTGCGAATGTTACAGGTGTCATGGCACTTTCGTCATCACCTTATGCGTTACCAGCTAGATTAGTTGACCCGCTTAAAAGAGTAATAGGTCTATGTTTGCCTAGCACCTTGTCTGCTCTTGGGGTTCTACTTTATGGAGATAGTCCTTATTACCTTCTCCCCCAATCAAGTGTTGACGTAAGAAGTTATCTTTCTTATACTCCATTGATAAACGTAAACCATTCAGATTCTTTTGGATACTATATAGGTGTGAATAACATTGTGATCAAAAAGAGATCCATTGCTATTCCGGCTGATGCCATCACTAAGATTAGTACAACCGAGCCTTACACCATTCTTAGAAGTGACATTTATAATCCTGTGGTTCGGAGGTTTTCAATGGTTACAAAACGTATCCCTCAGGCAACTCCAGTCCCACCTTTTGGCCTTTGCTTTAGTAGTTCCACAAGTGGTACACAAGTATCCTTAAAAGTTCCTGATATTGATTTTAGTCTTCCGGAAGGAAAGAAGTGGACAATGTCCGCGGCTAACTCCATTAAGCAAGTGACACCGGATGTTGCATGTCTGGCACTAGTGGACGGTGGTGCATCCTTTGAACCTGCGATCGTGATCGGAAGCTTTCAGATGGAAGATAACTTTCTGGTGTTTAATTTGGAGAACTCGACGTTTGGGTTTAGTTCTTCTTTATTACGTAAGAAGACTTCTTGTTCAAACTTCAACTATACGTTGGTTAGCAGCTATTGATCAATATGGCATATTCAACTGGGATATGAATGTGTATCCATCAACAGTTGATCTCCTAATAAAGATTTTCTTGTTCACTGTCGCTTATGTAGTAGAAAACTGGACTATCGATGTACTACGTTAAAGAAATAATAACGATGAAACGAATACTTTAATATGTCCATTATTTAATTTGGTAGCATAAATAAATAGATTGGATTATGTTGGGGTGTCAAAATTCAAATATAATCATAATATAACTTAAAATATAAAACTATATATACTTTGAAGAATAAAATAGTAAAAAATATGAAAAAACAAATGTTTCTTCTACTTTTAAAGTTTGAAATGTACAAGAACTTCAAATTTTAAAACATGAAAAAACTGTGAAGTTCTCTCTCCCCTCAAATATAACTTTCTATTTAAATGAGAAGATAAATAATTGAGAAAACCTAAAAAAAATGGTATTGTTTTCTTAAATTTAGTGCAACTAGTTTATTTTTGCAAATGTTGTGTTTTTGGAAGGTTTTCTTTATATATAGGTTTGAAATAACTATTTTACTTTATATTTAAAATTTTCAATTTATTAGATTTTTATTAATTGCTATTAAAAAAAGAGAAATTAAATACTCTCATACATTTCTTCCTACGTATCCTTCTATCCATTTTAAATAGTGATATGTATCACACAAATTTATTAAAATATTATTATTTTCATTAAATATTACAAATGTCATCATTTAAGATTAACAGAGAAGAAAATATAAAAGGATATTTAATTTTTTTTAAAAAGTTGTCCCACAACACTCCACCCTCTCTCCCTTCAAACCTTATGACCAATATTAAATGGATCTTAAAAGTATTTTCATATCTATCGATTTCTCTTCATCATAACTACCACTAATATCACATCGTTCACCACTAAAAACTAATTCCTTAGAGACCTCCACCACTACCATCATCAACGGCGTTATAATCATTCACTACTACCAAAACAACCTTAGAAATCTCATCCATCTCTCTCTCTCTCTCTCTCTCTCTCTCTCTCTCTCTCTCTCTCTCTCCATCATCAGCCTTAAAAACCTCCACCAACACCAGCATTATAAACCTTAGAAACATCCATCACGACCATCAACATTGGTTTAAATTTTCTGGGTTTCTATTTAATGATCAATCAACAAATATCAGTATTGATTTTGCTTTTCGGTTCACCATCACATGCAATACATCAAAGATAGGATATGGATCCTTCATTTTCCCCTAAATCAATTTTGTTTAATAGATCCTGCATTTTTCCCCTAAAAGACATTATGTATATCCAAACTGTTCGACAAGTTTGTAATGACACTATGAAAACTTGACAAGTTACTGCCTCCCCATATTACATGTCTGACATCGCAAAAAGGAACTTTATTACTTGTATCCACATGGCATTGTTTTTAGACCTAAACCTCAACCACTACGTAGTCAATAAGGTAAGCTTAAAAGCTCTTAAACTCCCCATATGAAGACCATCGACATTATATTAGCAACAAATCTTTTTTCAAGCAACCAAATCATTTTCGTTTTTCACTATTCCCCTCCGAAAGAACTAACATCTAATACAATCCAACATATTTATCATTATTGTTGTGGGTAGAATTTTTACCTTACTATTCTTATATCTTGAACATTTTACTAACATCTTAGGTAAACCTAAGATCTTGGATTGAATCAATATATTGGACTATCATCATGTTTCTTGTGAAATCTTATGTAGGAAATTAAAGTTTGACAAGAAAGGAATAGACCTAGTTAAACCACAGGTGTTCAATGCCTCATGAATGTTGAAGACCCTCGTAAAATTCGGGTCAAAGAAAAGTCAAGGAGGATCCTAAGAATGTCGAAATTATAATTATTATTGTTATGTATATAAACACTAGTTTATTGACATTCACACACACAAGAACATATTTCTACTGCTACTTATTTTCTAATTCTCTCGAAACTTGAGTATATTAACTTCATTTCTAAGATCATCTAGCATTTGTAACATTATTTAAATTTAATATAAGTACTAAGGCAAGTGATTGCATCACCTCCCGAGGTTTTATGTCGGAGATCCAAACTGATTAATGGCTTTCCTCGTAACTCATTATGTTCTTGAACTTATTTTATTTATTTTATGATGTTCAATCGAAAGCAATCCATTCCTTTATTCATTTTTTTACATTGCTAAAATCGCTAAGGTATCTTCAGGTATGTTAGTATATTTTTTAGTATCTCGAACTTTATTATACAAATTTATTTATTTATTCTCTTCAACACTATTTGTATCCCAAAATAAACTTATTCATATTACAAGATAATACGTTTTAATGAAACTCCTTTTTGAACATTATAGTTTTTTACCCAGGATCTTGGGCACGACCAAGATCTTCAATGCATTTTAAGATCCTAAGCACTTTACTTTTATTCACCTTAGTTCAAACATCACACCACACTTACTAATTTGGTTATAAAATTAGTTTGTTAATTTTTTACTAAAACAGATGTAGCATCCCGGTGTTTAGGTACTTCTAAATTTAACCATATAATCTTTTTATATTGCGTTTTGGTCCTTAAATAGAAGAAGTGTCCATTGGAAATCCTAGTGGAAATTTTGTAATTTTGGAGAAATGGGAGTATGTTATGCGTACATCTGTATGCTTAGTGTACTAGGCCACGCCTTAGTACGTTGGGTGTACATCAACGTGCGCGGGGCATACTCGCTAGTTGTAGAAACCCTAAATATTAGGATTAAGCCCCTATATAATCATACTTATAGCCTCATTTCTCTCACCTTTTCAACCTCCACTCTCCTTGAGACATTTTTGCAAACCCTATCCCTTGAGTGTATGTTTTGAGTTTAAGTGTGTGTTCTTGGTATGTTGAAGGCAGAAAGAGGACTCATTGAGGAGCCTTGGTGTGGAAACAAGCTTGTAGATATAAGATCTTTGCCTCTTTGGGAAGCTTCAGAAGGTATAAAGCTTTGACCTTGACTTGTATTTTCTTAAGATCTTTCCATATGAAGTTTTATGAGTTTTTAGTCCCTTTTCTTGGACATAATGAGTAAAAGGCTACTCTAAGACCAAAGGAGTTGTCCTTTCAGAAGATTTGAGGTTCATTAAGTTGTAAAAATGCTATCTTGACTCATTTAGTGCTTGCACGCATGATGTGTAGGTCTTAAGTGGTTAAGACAAACTAGGGATTGGTTTTGGGAGTTATTAAGGCATGCATGACTATAAAGTTGGAAAATTTATGGTTAGGAGCACCTTTTAGACTTGGATATCGAATTAGACGTTTGGACTTGCTGAATTAAGCACTTAATGGAGGTTATTCATGGACACTACATACGATGGGTGTATCAAGGCGTACGTTGGGCGTAGGTGGTCAACTACTTGTTTTTGGTCAAGGGCGGAGTATGCGGGGAGTAGAGGCTGGGTATGCTGGGCAAACTCAGTTGGGTTGACTTTTCGCTAGCTGTTGACTTTCCTTTGACTTTTGACCTAGTTGACCCTAGGGGCATTTTGTGTATTTAATATGAAGTCTAAGGTCAGGTCTTTCCTTGTGTATAAGTGATCTATGGAGCGGACTCATGGAGCGATATTATTTTATGCTGTCTTTTCAGATTTGCGAGGTGAGTTTTCCTTACTATACTTTTGGATCGAAGGCACCAAGGTCGGCCCCTTTGGATTCTTATCATGGTTTATCGCATGCTTGTATGTTGTAGTTATCTATTAGATATGTATCCAGGTATATAGGATGATGCTATGATTAGTGATATGTTATATATGTATATGCTAGCTAGGGTTTGATATGGTATATGTTGATATATGATGGTGTGTTGGGTTAAGGCGGTCCTTTTTTGTGCTCAAGGTGTCACACCCCCGAACCGAACGGAGGAAACGTCTGAGGGCTCTTGTGACTCAAATTGAATACCATCACAATGAATATACATGATTCATAACACAAATCATCACCATGCATTGGAATATTACAACTGATATTGTTTACATTCAGTACATTGCTTTAAACATTACAATTCCATAACATAGACTGTCTGATAGATAATTTAAGCAAAACACCATGACATTTCCTGATACTTATTCTTTGGCTTACCTGTTACCTGAGAATACAAGTTATTTTGGAAAAACGTCAACATATGAAATGTTGGTGAGTTCATAAGTAATGTTATGAAAAAATGATTTTTGTGAAGTTTGAAAAACCCAGAAAATCCGATATTTTCTGAAAATAGTATTTGTTTATAAAAAGTGTGAAGATCCGTAAATATGCTTGTCGATTTTGAAAACATGTATAATTGTTGAACTTTGTATACATTACATAGGTGAAAATGTTGAACTTTCCGGGAAAACTTGATGTTTTCCCAATACGTAAATTTCATGACTTGTTTATTGTTATACCGATACGACGAATGTTTTTGATTACCCATGTGACATTGGATTAATTAGGGTTTGTGAGTTGTTATAATCACGCATTAATGAAAATGACTAGTTTATAACTACAGGTTACGAACGATCCTTAAGGCTTCGTCCGTACTACTCACATAATCCAACCACCCTGACTTCTCTTGATTAACGCCACGAATCTGTTTACTTGAATTCTCATAAGCCGATCAACCGAGGAGAAATGAGGGTACGAAGCCCCCTTTATTTCCATAAGTTATTCAAGGCTATCGGGAATGCGAAAGGCACTTGGCCCAACTCGCATTTGACTTCTCGACCTCACTAGCAGTACTAATGGACCATTAGGGCCCAATAGCACAATAGAGCTATTGAAAGTCCTTTTACATGGAATTGGGTCATGGGAGGCCCATTAACATGTAAGCACGTTCCCTTCGAGCCCAAAGATCAGGTTATTGGGCTAGCAAGGCCCAACAAGCATGATTTGAAACTTTCAAGCCCAAAGTTTGAATGTTGACTCATCATAGTTATCGCATGTTTATTGAAATACTTTGGTTTATTGATTTTTGTTTTGTTATT